CTGCAACTACCCTCTATCTGATTTTCATCCAGTTGAACGAATTTACCTAGATAATTCCCAATTCTCTTTGCCGTTTTTAGGGTCATAAACCCATAAGGCACATTATGAACCTGAATCCAAAAATCGGTCATAGTCAAAGGAAACCTAAGTGGAATATCCCCTGGTTTGATCTCAGGTTTTGTTCAAAGTGCCATGGACCATTTCCTAGGACCTGTTTCATATCAACTGCATGATAAAATGTAAACAAATACCTGCACTCCCCAAGTTCTTGAATCAGAACACCTCTACCAGGCCGCCAAATAGAGGCCATAACATTCTTGAAAAGCTGAAACTTCACCATTTTGTCCGTGATTAGAGTACCAACCACCGGAAAAGCCGTCTGAGCACCTTCACCCTCGCATCACTGCCCTCATCATCAAAACCCAGACCTTCCCCATCACCCTCCACTGTTATGTAGTCATCTTGCTTCGCCAAAATAGCCATTACAAAGACCAAATTCGAAACTTGTACCTGCCCTGCTGCTGCCACAAAGTCGTCACTAGAACACGCTCTGAGAAACACGATCGCGGATCACCCCAATCTAGGAAGCACAAATGGATGTGCGATCTACTTCCACGCCAATTCCTTATGGTCGAAACCTTCGTAGCAACGAAACAAACTGCCCAAACGAAAAGCAATACCTAGTAACAAACTGCACAAACGAAGAAGAAAACTCCAATTAACCAAAAAAGAGAAAGAACAAATCAGATTCCCTAGCTGCACCGCACGACTTGAGATCGGCGGAAGAAAAACCCCACATCTCGTAGGAGTCGTCCGCTATCACTAGACAATTTATAAGTTATACACCTGAAATATGAAATTATACATAACATCCGAAAACTTAACCTATAACTACTACTACACACTAAATTTTTAGAAGCCTTCAGGTCACTGGCATGGCTCATTGCGGGCGGGGGGGGGGGGGGGGGGGATTACTGCACGGGAAAAATATTTATGATCGATGACTTGGCTGGTAAAAATTTGCATTTTTGTTTATAATTTGGCTACAACTCCGGTACCTTTCTAAAATACGAGGTACCGTACCTATCATTCATTTGATTGGACCACATCACTTTATCATTTTTAATTTAGATTTAAATAATTCAACTGTTACATTCTCATTGGTCCATGTGGACAAAGGTATGATACCTTATGGGTACCATAGAATCTATCTTATAATTTTAGCTATATACTCACCATGTCTCTCTTTCTTTTCTCTGAGTTAAATTAATCACTTCAACCTCCAGGTCAATCTTAGAAATTCATGAGGCCCATTATTTAAAGCTGAAAACAAATTCCACCGGTTCAAAATTCAAATAAAAATTCAGATGAGCCACACAATCTAATACTACGTAACTGTTTGAGGTTTAGTCCCGTAGATCCGAAAGCCCAACATAAACTTTGGATATTAAGGACGATGATTTTGGTATAAAAATAAAGAATATAAATATAAAAGTGTATGACTAACTATTTTTACGTGGAAACCCGAAAAGGGAGAAAACCATTGGACTTTTTAGGCTAACGTCCAAGCCCGCTCTTTCTCATTAACATGCTCTCCTCACCATTTTACATAGTACAAGTATTGCACTCCATTAATGGAGGTTGAAGAAGCTTGTTAATCACTAAGGGAGAAGAAGAAGTAATAGCTGAGGGAAGAGCGAGAGAAGAGCCCTTCCTTAATCTGGAAGCCAAGCTTCCTATTTATCGGCATGGGAGAGGGTTGCCTATTCTCATAGGACGGTTGGGCCTTAAATGGGCCTAGCTTCTATCCTTTCGGCCCGACTGGCCGAAATAAGCCGGGTAAGCCTAAATGGGCCTCGCCGACTGGGCTCTGAACAGTAATAGGTCGGGACAATATATACTCCAACAGTAACAATTTTAGATTAATATTACTAAAATAAAACTTATTTACATAAATATGACTATTCATTACTACAACGTAGTGCTGTGATAATTTATGTTTAAAACTTGAACATGAATTACTATGATTTCATTATTAGTCTAGTAACTAGTCATATTTTTGTAAATCATTTTTATTTTGGTCATATTTATGTAATTGTTTCAAAATTTATATGCATGATTAATTGTTGGGAGTCGATTCCTTTCCGGCTCAGGTCTCCAACCCTTTAGCTAGACTCACACACACCACTTTAGGCTAGACTCACTCCACCACTCAACATGTTTACACTCCCAAGGTCCCACACAAAGGGCATCAAGGAAGGAGGAGAACACTCAGCTCTCAACTCTCTGGTTTTACCTCTCTCACACAAAGGAAAAAAGAAGGCTCTGCACTCTTTAGTTTCTCACGCAGGACAAGTCTCAAAGGAAGAGGCTAAGGGTTCAAATAATAGCTTGACAACTCACGGGAGAGGCCAAGACAAAAGCTCATGGGCCAACATAGACAAGAATGCCGCGGACAACACGGAAAGGGGGCCAAGCATTAGGTAAGTCAACAGCCAGAAGAGAAACAATTATCGGAATGGAACTGTGGGAGTAAACATAGGGTGCAAGTCAATAATAAAATGGAAGGGAGGCCTTGGTAGGACCAATACCTCCAACATTCTCCACCTTATTGGTCCTAGGTGGTGTAGAGTAGCAATACAAAGTTGTGAGGAGACTCATCATCGCCGGATTATTACAAGTACATCATTGCGATCATACAAGTAATAGATGAGAACCAAAGTTCCCTTTCGGACCAGCTTACCGTGCAAACCCACTTCACGATGGACTGAACTCTACCAATCGGTCCTCGAGTTCAGAACCAAAACCATCACAAAACTATTAACAAGCACAACACATGTTAATAGACCACGCAAGCAAGCATCCGGGAGAAGTTGGGGATTCCAACTAATCCAACAACCACACAAAGCAAGTACAAAGAAAATAAAAGAAACAATATTATTTCTATAACTAGCACAGGCGGAGCTCACATAATCACTTGGTATCACATTTTCAAAACACAAAGAAAATAGCATACCAAATATCACAAAGATTTTAATTAATAGAGAATTAAGCACATTTAAAGCAAATTCAGAGGAAATATAGTCAAACACATTGCACATATTATTTCTCACATGCTTCCTAATGTCTCTATCTCTAATAACATGGCAATCACGCAACTCAAGCATATTGTACACAACATTCATATCATGCTCCACCTTAATAGAAATATTATTTTCTTTATTTTCACCATGAAAAACATTTTCATCCACAAATTTGGGTTGGGTTTCAACAAGTAAATCAGAATGAACATCAGGCAAATGCTCCACCTCATTTGGAGCAACATCAGGAGAAACAAGCAGGCAAGGAAATTCATTTTCAACAAAAATGACATTTCTACTCATCAACACATTGAAGCAAGTTTCACTCATACACCAAAGCCTATAACCTTTCATGCAATCATGATATCCTAAGAAAACATATTCCTTAGTCCTAGGTTCAAATTTATCATTCACACGATTCACATAAGCAGCACAACCAAACACTCTCAAATTTGGCAAGTCAAGTGGTTTGCCCATGAACACAGATTCAGGGCATTTCCCTCCTAAGGGAACAGACGGGGACAGGTTAACCAAATCAACAGCATAACAAATAGCTCCCCCCCAGAACTTATTAGAGAGCCCAGATGAAGCTAACATAGCCCTCACCCTCTCTAATAAAGTTCTAACCATCCTCTCAGCAACCCCATCCGGTTGGGGTGTGGAGGGAACAGATTTATGCATAGAAATACCCCAAGTATCACATAAATCACCAAGCTGACTACACAGAAATCAAAACTGACAGTGGTCCTTAAAAAATTAATTTTCTTACCGGTTTGTTTTTCCACAAGGGTTTTCCAGTTTTTAAACTTATCAAAAACTTCAGATTTATTTTCAATCAACAAAACCCACACTTTCTTTGAAAAATCATCAATCAACGTCAGAAAATAATTTTTCCCACCATGAGTGGAAACACTATAAGGACCCCACAAATCAGCATGAATACAGTCAAGCACATCAGTACACTTAGGCAGATCAGGAAAACCAACTCTAGACTGTTTTCCTAGCACACAGGGTTGTACACAATTCACAGAATCAAGTAGGGGTTCAGCATGACAAACATACAAGTTGTTTTTCATCTCAGCTTTGAAAACAACTAAGCAACCTTTCACAACTTTCATGATTCCCTTTCCCCATTTTCCCTTCAAACCCTCATTTTCAAGAGAAGCACAAGATAGCAAATTACAGCACAGCTCAGGAACATGCCTAACATTCTTCAAAGTAAGCACATAACCAGAAGAGAACCTAAGGCACACATCTCCTATTCCTAGCACATTGCATTTCTTCTTATTTGCTAAAGACACAAAGCCATGCTCAATCTCTTTATAGTTTGAAAAAACATTTTTCAAAGGGGACATATGAAAAGTACAACCAGAATCTACCACCCAATCTGATTTACCCAAAGAATCAGATATCACAGAACTCAAATAGTCATAATCACATAGATTTTTCATCATAAAAACATCACCTAAATCATCTTCACACGTAGTCAAATTAGCATGCTCACTATGCTCATTTTTCCTAGATTTAGGACAGTCTCTTATGAAATGACCAGATTCGTGACAATAATAGCAACGCCTCGAATTAGACCTAGACTTAGATCTATGTCGTCTACTATTATTTTCTCTACCCCTCACATGCATAACTTCCTCGGATTTTCTACCCTCACCCATTTGTTTTAAATCTAATTCCTTACTCTTAAGACCATTTACCACAATGTCAAGAGTCACATTATCTCTACCATACTTAATAGCAGATTTCACATCACTAAAGGAATCAGGAATAGCATTTAAAAGAGCAATAGGGGAATAATCATCTATATGTTTATCACCACACAACTTAATATCCGAAATAAGTTTGGTAAAAACATCTAGATTTTCTTCAATATCTATAGACATATCTAGTCTAAATTTGAAGAACTTTTCAAGTAAAAATATCCGGTTAGGCAAAGAGGTCTCAGTATACAGTTCATTCAATTTATTCCACAGAATTTTAGCACTCTCTAAAATTCCAACTTTTCTAATCACAGAGTCAGATAAGTTCAAATAAATCACAGAACATGCATTTTCATTCATTTCAGCCCTTTTCTCTTCTGTGTCAGAAATTAAATAGGTTTCGCCAACTGCTTTAAAACATTTTTGTTGTATTAAAATACATTTAATTTTTTGCTTCCAAATGCTAAAATCAGATTTTCCATTAAATGGAGCCATACCATACTGATTATAAGCAGACATTTTCACAGAGAAAAATAAGCAACAAAAGAAAATGTAAATTTTGCTGAAAAACAATTTAAATATTTATAAGGCTACAACTATACGGAGCAACTAGCACGAACACGTGGGGAGTATTAATGAGCACCAAACTCAACTTCAAACCCCTTGTTCTTCCGTATAAGCACAAATAAATAATAAATTTTCAGCACAAAACAACACAACAATTTAATCAAATTTATAAGCAGTAATAAACCTAAAACAGATTTCTACACAATTAAAGACTAAAAAATCACTACAAAAGCGATAAAAGTCAATATACCGGAGCGAAACCCTAGGAGAGGCGTTTCGACCTTACCCACCCAATTTTAAAAAAATTGGGTTTTTTTTCGGACTGTTGACTGGATTTGACTGCGGTTGACTGAGTTTCAAGTCCACCAAGAGCTCCCTGTTTCTGCGCCAGCACCTTCACGTGTAGTCACCTTTTGTGCTCCCAAGTCAAGCTCTGGTTCAATCCAGCAACAAGCTTCAGCGTCCAGTCCAATAGAGCAGCAGCCCAGCCCAAGAAGGATATAGCCCAGCAAGGCAACAACCAGCTCAATGTTCAACCCCCAGCTGTCAAATCTCTGCGTCGCGGGTCCAGTCCTTCACCTGCAGCTCACGGTCAGAAATGCTCAGCGACAAAACGCAGCCTCCAACCGCCGGCAATCTGCATCAAGCTCTGCGGCCAGACCTCTGCCTTTGCGTTCAGGGGAGTCGTCCAGCTTCAGCCTTTCCTTCAAACCTCCGTAAACGAGAAAAAACAGGGATGACCGGCGACTTCCACAAGCTTAGACGACGGCAGGTGGCGGTGTAGCTCCAGCGGCAAACAAGTAGTGAACTCGACGGTGGACCTCGTTTGGAGCCTCAATCGACGAACGATGGCTTTCCAGACCTTAAATTGACGGGCGGCAGCAGACGGCGGCAGACGGCGGCGGACGGCGGCGGACGGAGGCGGACGGCAGAATCCGGCGAAATCGACGGAGAAGACAACACAAGCTCTGATACCACTGTTGGGAGTCGATTCCTTTCCGGCTCAGGTCTCCAACCCTTTAGCTAGACTCACACACACCACTTTAGGCTAGACTCACTCCACCACTCAACATGTTTACACTCCCAAGGTTCCACACAAAGGGCATCAAGGAAGGAGGAGAACACTCAGCTCTCAACTCTCTGGTTTTACCTCTCTCACACAAAGGAAAAAAGAAGGCTCTGCACTCTTTAGTTTCTCACGCAGGACAAGTCTCAAAGGAAGGCTAAGGGTTCAAATAATAGCTTGACAACTCACGGGAGAGGCCAAGACAAAAGCTCATGGGCCAACATAGACAAGAATGCCGCGGACAACACGGAAAGGGGGCCAAGCATTAGGTAAGTCAACAGCCAGAAGAGAAACAATTATCGGAATGGAACTGTGGGAGTAAACATAGGGTGCAAGTCAATAATAAAATGGAAGGGAGGCCTTGGTAGGACCAATACCTCCAACATTAATTAATTCCTTTAAATATTTTTATTGTTATAAACACAGATCCTCCCTGTCCAGCCAATTCATATACTGATGTATATACAAAATAACTCGTATTTTTTTTTAATTCAAGTGGAATTCATGTAATCAAGTCAAACTATGTTCGCCAGAATTCAAAACAGTGCCACGATTAAATGTACAAAAATGTACTTACTGTATCGATCAATAGTTTCGGTACTATGTATGATCAATGTATCGACACCAACAGTTTTGATACCTTAGAAAATGGTTGTACGTATAAGAAAAAATGTGTACGTTGGGATTTGATAATGTGTACTTAGAAATCATTTATTTCAGTTTTGATACCTTAGAAAATGGTTGTACGTATAAGAAAAAATGTGTACGTTGGGGTTTGATAATGTGTACTTAGAAATCATTTATTTTAGTAATATTCTTTTAGTAATATTGTTGTAAAAACTCATCAATAAAATGACAATATTTTCAAAACAAAAAAAAAAAGATAAAGTTACTGTGTTCCGTTAAAATTATTTCATCTTTCCTTTTCGTTCTGTTCTAATAAAATTGTCTCATACAAAATTTGATAAATTTATATGATTCTAAATCATTCTTATTTTATTTTTAATTTATAATTCAATATCAATCACATAAATTCATTTTCTTGAGCGTCAAGAGATAACTACGACAAGGGAAGAATGGTTTGCAAAATGGTGACAACTCTGGTATCCATTTAAAAAAATGGTACCGTACCTATCACTCACATGATTGTCTAAATCATTATATCATTTTTAATTTAGATTTAAATAATTCAACTGCAACATTCTGATTGGTCCAAGTAGACAAAAGGATTTACCTTTTGTATACCATAGAATCTACCTTGCGAAATTGGCATTATTACACATTAAACTCGGTGGTATGCAGTCTTGCACCGATACTTCATCTCGATGCCGTATCCGCGTATCCTATACGTATCCGATATCGACACCTCGATGTGCATCCTTTGTAAGTTGTCGTATGGTTGTACCCGTATCGACGTATCGTACATGTGGTATGTGACTATGTGAGGGTCCACGCAGAGTACGACTCAATATACCTGGACTGGGTCCCACGCCCAGTTCAATCCATCTCACATCGTTGAATTTGGAGAGGACCCAACTATCTACGCCTGAGATCTCACCCCCTTCATCTCCAAGTTGCTATCCACCATAGCTACGGAGTATTTATTAGCTTCTCATTGTCCGTACACTGCCAGAGCTACTCTTTCATGCTAGAAAAACTATTGAAATTCCCGATCAAAAAATTTCCAAAACCGTCAACTCTCAGGAGCGCTAATGCATCTCATCTGGTCTAAGTGTGCGTAAAAGATAGGAACTTTGAGATACTGTGAGGTTAGGGCTTTACAACCTTTCATGTTTTGGGCAGTCAACATAAGAAACTAACCAACGGGGTGGGCTTATCAGGGTAGAGAGGAATCAGAGGATAGCTAGATTTCTTCAGACGCTTGGAATCAATCTAATTCATGTAAGCCTGTAAGAATACATTAAATCATTAGAATGCTCAGTCGTAAACAGGCAAACACACCCAGATCGACGGCCTCACCTGGTTAGATGTGTGTAATGCGTCCTACACTCTTAGAAGTTTTCTACATTCTTCTAAAGCAAAGCTTTTAGAAATGGTTATAGTTTCCGAAGGTCTTGGAAAGTGATTGTGTTGTACGGGTTATATTGTTTTCATCCTTTGCCTCTATGGTCAGTTGGTTGTGATTTGAATTGGTGATAGGATGATTGTCTCAGAAGAATAGAGCTTTAAAATTATGTTCCTGAAATTCGTTTTTGTTTCTTCACAACTTCTAATGGGATTGTTACAATTTGGTTGTGGGATGATTCATCATTCATTGTTGAGTGGTCATTAGTCAATTTGCTTGTAAGCCTCTACCTAAGCGAGCAAAATCTACAAGTTGATCAAGTGTTAAATTTGACATCCTGGGGTATATATCTGTCTATACATGACCCCCTCCCTAGAGTGAATTTGGCCTGACAGTTCTTTACTGCTTCATCTAAAAATATTTGTGCTGAAGAAATCAGAGTAAATTATGTTCCTAAAAAAAAGAGACATTTATGTTGCAAGGGTTCTGATATATGAGGTGGCTAAATTTATTCTTTTGGGATTTGGGGGTAAATTCTTCCTGTATTAGTTAATAAGAGTTTAGTCATTGAAAACTAATTTTTACTAAATTATTAAGAGAAGCAAACCATTGTGTTTTTCCATGCTTTGAATTGAACTTTTGTTTGAAGAACTAATAAATATGTGTGTGTCTATCCCTAGACACACATACATCTGTCGGTGCCTGCATGGTCAGGTATGTACGTGTGTGTATGTATGTTGGTGAACTATTAGGCGCAGTTCATGACTTTATGATTGAGTTACTGTAGACTTAAATTGTAGGGTGCATACACACATCAAACGAGGTGAGGCCATCGACCTGGGTGTGTGTTTACCTATGACTTCAATCCATTTTGTACTCCAGTGTCTGAGGAAATCTAGCTAACCTCTCTGGCCTTTTAAGTCCGCCCGGCTGGTTATTTTCTTATGCTGAATGCTACACCCCTCACCACCCAAAAATGACTTTAAGATCTTTTATTTTGGGAAAATTCCATTTCATGTTGTATCCATGCAACTTAGAATCTGAATTAGTAGATCATTAGAATATGTATGTGTTTCTTGTATTGGGTTGGATCCAATATGAGTTTGACACTATTTCTTGTATTTCGTTGACACTTTTTTCCAACCAAGGCTCTAAAAGTGATGTTATTGAGCAAAACTGTAGTTTTTTGTGGTGTGAGATTGAGCCATTAAATAATGAAAATGTCTTGTCCCTGCTGTAAATAGTTTCGGAATATGTTAAAAATTATACTCCCTCCGTCCCAATATAAAAGGCACATTTGCGTTTCTAGACATTTTAAGGGCGAACACTGTTTGAACACTGTTTAGACACTGTTTGGCACTGTTTGGACACTGTTTGGCACTGTTTTGCACTATTTTGTTTGCCAAAAAGGGAAATGTGCCTTTTATATTGGGACGGACAGAAAAGGAAAGTGTGCCTTTTATATTGGGACGGAGGGAGTATTTCGCAATAAAACTATTACACTCTGTGATAGATTTTCTTTTGGTTTCTTTTACAAGGACCTAGCTGTGAGTGGTGAGCTGCATTAGTAATCCTGCAATGGCTTATAATAATACAAAAAATTCTTCAAAAGTAGAGCCAAAGCGTTCCCATCAGTGGTTCATGGATGGTATTGAGCCAGAGTTACATCCCAACAAGAAACAAGATGTTGATACAACAAACAATCGATCATTCACTGCACTTCTAAATTCAAATATCTTACCCTGGATGAATGTTTCCCATTTGCAATCCCTACCACAGCAGTGCTCTCAGAGCCTTTTAGATGGTGGTGAGATCAGAGAACCCATCAGCTATGATGACAAAAATGTTATGCCAATTGGCTTTGGCACCAAGAGCATGCCTACAATGTCTATGGAGGGTTCCTGTGGATACGATTCTTCAATTGGTTTATCGATAGTGTCTGAGAGGATGGAGCACCCTAGTTTGAGCATAAACTATAGAGGGATTGGAAAAGCTAAAGATAAACTCATGCCTGTGACAATGGGTGATAACTTTGCCATGGGAGTTGACAGCATTGTGGCACCAGCTGGTGCCATGGCATCATCCATGGGACTCTCTTTCAAAAGATCTTCTGCCAATATGATGTCATTTGGAGACACATATCATAGAGAAGATAGTAATTTTCTATCCGCGCGTCAGCTTCTTATTGGCAATAATAAAATAAACACTGGTGAATTGATAGGTAGCTCCAAGGAGAAGGATTATTATATGTCAAATAATCAATCTTTTTTCAATAAAGACAAAACCAGTATTGCAGCGCTTGGTCAAACCTCCAACAGAGAAGATAGTAACATCACATCAATGAGTTTCAATAAGACACCTAACTGCTTCACAACAACTGCGAAAGTTGATAACAATAATATTCTAATGAGTCACTCTTTCCGCAGAGGGGAAGGCCACAATATCATATCATTTGGTGGGTTTGACAAATATGATGATGATGCTTTGAGGAAAATATCAGAAAACTCAAGTGAAAAGGGGTTGGGTCAATCTAATGTAGATACACTTGAAGACACTTCCCCAACTGCTGCTTTAATAGGTGTGGCTGATTCTAAGAAGGATGAGCAAAAGGCAAATAAAAAGTCTTCTCCAAATAGTTTCCCTTCAAATGTTAGGGGCTTACTGTTAACTGGTATATTTGATGGAGTTCCGGTTAAGTACATTGCATGGTCACGGGAGGTATATTTGACTTTTCATTATTATTTCCAATTTATATATCATCAATTGACAGTTTTTGCACTACATGTTAGAAGGAGCTTCGTGGTGTTATAAAGGACACTGGCTATCTCTGTGGCTGTCAGTCATGTAACTTCTCCAAGGTTGCTCAACTACCAAATTTTTCATATCGGGATTCTTATGCGTGCTTTGATTTTTTTGATATTCTCTAACTCTTCATGATGTAGACAATTAATGCATATGAGTTTGAGCGTCATGCTGGCTGTAAAACAAAACACCCAAATAATCACATTTACTTTGAGAATGGGAAAACAGTTTATGGGATTGCACAAGAGCTCAGGAATACACGGCAGGATTTGCTGTTTGAGGTTATTCAGACAATCTCTGGTTCCCCTGTTAACCAAAAGTCTTTTCATATCTGGAAAGGTTCGTTAGTGACTTGAATATTTTGTTTTTATTCTAATTTGTTTTTGTGATTTGTGTCATTCAAGAAGCTCATTCTTTCCTTAGAATCATTCCTTGCTGCTACACAAAAACTTCAGAGGATATACGCAAAAGGTGAATGACGAGATATCATATTGAAATAGTAGCAATCGAAATGAAAAGGTATGTTAAGCTACCAAATCTTCCTTGATTTCTGTAGCAAATAAAGTGTGTAATAAACATTACATAATTTGAGGGATGGATAATCCAGCCTTCCAGGTTGCTCCCTGCACAGTCGTAACCAAGGTTTTAAATAGCGGTAGCGGTATCGGTCATAGTGGTAGCGGCTAATGCAGCCTCTACGATGCATATAACGGTCGCTGCGGCGTGAAATATTTTCAAGTTAGCAGAAGATAGGAATATCATGATTTATTGTATTTTTTAACAGATCTATTTAACAATGCTAGCAAGTTGATTTAAAGCAAACCAAACAACATTTACACATCACCCACCCCATAATTGAGTATAGTTGACTGCATGCATGCATCATTCACGCATTTGGGACTGGAGTACACCGTTGGGGTCGTGATTGGAATTCACACCGCAACAGCGGCTTGTAGCGGTAGCGGAGCCTACCGCAACCGCTATATAGCAGCCGCAATAGCTGTAGCGGACCGGTATTTAAATCCCTAGTCGTAACAATTTATGTTTCATGTTTACATACACTTGATTGATTGTACGTGAAATCCACTCTATACAAATGTGTTTTCGAGGGATTTTTTCAATTTCTCTTCATCCCCCAGAAGTAGTATGCCGCACATTTGATGAGAACTTAATAATTGTAAATACATAAAGTAAATCTTACAGCCTGTCTGATATGGGTTAATTTGGTTGAAAAGGAAGAAGTGGTTAAACTTGCTGAAACTGTGGCTATATCCTATATTGATTTAGTTTACTTAATTATCCAGTAATGTAAAGAGTTTAACTTAAATATAGTAATGTAGTTAAAGAATACAATATCAGTGCTGTTTTAGTGTTTTTATTCAAATCAGCAGCTTCTTAAAACATGGAGTACGCTGTTTCAATGTCTCTCATATCTGACTGAACTGCTGGTTTTCATGCTCTTGCAGCGTGGAGAAAAGCAATAAATTTGACACGTTTAACAAGCCGTCATTTGTCACTCCGCCAGGAGAATTATTGACTTTATATACCCGTAGTACCCCCCCCCCCCCCCCCCCCCTTGTTGTTGTTGACTTTATATCCCTTGGCTATTTCCATGAACTTTACAGGACATTTTGCAAGTGATATTCTGGGGCAACATGGTGCAGAAATGAGGATTTTCCATGCAATTTGTTGCTACTAATGTAAAAAAAAAATTCTTTTTTCATTATTTTAATTATTTTTTTACTAAACCATGAAAAGCATTTATGCTTATCCTTTTTTAAGCTAGTTATTATTTGAATATGTAAATTTCGTCCTTGATAACAAATGGATGTAAATTTTGAGACTTGAGTTATGATTTTGTACATAGCTTCATTATGTGCATCTTTATTTGGATGCTGCTTTCGTTTTTGTCGGATTTTTAAGAATAATCTTAAAAGAGTATTTGCCATTTTAGGTCCCCGATTATTGTGTCATTGACACTTTTGGTACTTGACTTTTAATTTTTTAACTTTTAGTCATCGGCTATTGTTCTTGGGACACTTTTAGTCCTTGACTTCACAGTTTTCCACATTTAGTCCCTTAAATATTATCAAATTGACACTTTTAGGGAGTGTTTGTTATAATTTATAAAATGATTTTCAGCTTTTGGCTTAAAAAAAATTGAAATGAGTGTTTTCAAATGACAGCTTCTGCTTAAATTAATCACTTAAAGTTAAAAGCTGGAAGCAAGTAGAAGGGTGTTTTAAACTGCTTTTCATGTTTTCAATTACACAAAAAGCACTTATTTTATCAAACACTACCAACTTTTATTTTTTCAGAACCACTTTTTTCTCAAACAATACTAACTTTTACTATTAATTAATGTTAATTAATTAATTAACATTAATGGCGGTCCGGGTCCGGGTGGATACCCGAACCGGGGGTGTAGGGCGGGGCGGGCTCGGTGCTTACAAATGGTGACCCGGCTCGGCCGGGTCGGGCCCGGGTCCAACGGTCCAATTTAAAAAAAAAAAAACTTTTAGGGCTTTGGGCTCAAAAGAGCCGTTAGGCTGGGCTGGGACATCCCAAACGGCTATATAGCCGTTGGGAGGGTGGTAGGGGGGGTCCGGGCCAGTTGGGGGGAGGGGGGGTGGGGTAAAAAAAAAACTATAAATACTCCTAATATTAAACATTTTTCCACATCTTCTCCAACTCTTCCTAAATCCTCTCTACTCTCTAATCATCTTCTTCATCTTCTCAACGATGTGCATGTCATGTTATAAATTTATGTGTGCAAGACGGTCTAAAAGCGTTCGGAGATTCTTTGGAGGTGGTCAAGGGGAGGATTAGACATATTTGGGGTAATGGTTAACTTAAATTAAAATGACAAAAATATGTGATAGAAAGAGGTGAGAAATATGTGGCTTTTCCTAAAGATTTGTCTATTCGTTGGAATAGTACTTATAAGTTAATTAGAGTTCTTCTTAGATATAAAGAACATTTTCCTGCTTTCTTAAAAGAATATGATAACTATATTATAAACTTGGCTGAGATCGACACCTGCGAAAAAATTTGCAATGCTTTGGTATATTTTTTTAATGCAACTCAAAGTTTTAGTCATATTTATAAACCTACCTCAAACCATTTTATTCGTGAAGCTGTTAATCTCGCCGGTGCTTTTAATGAATTTGAGACTGCCGATTACGTGAGTTATTTTGTTGAATCTATGAAGGAATTTTTTTAGAAATATTATGCACATATTCCGCATATTTATGGTATTGCATTTGTTCTCGATCCTCGTTTTAGACTTGGTTCTTTAGAAGAATGTTTGAAGTATTATTATCTTGCCTTTTTTGTCCTTTTCCAATGTATTACGAAGGCTCAATAGATTGGAAAAAAGAATACAACGAGGTTAGTGAATTATTTTATGCCTTATTTAATGAGTTTCATGCAGAATATGGCAACGCGCCTCCTCCCCCGACACAAACATCTTCATCTAAAGGAAAATCAATTTTTAAATCTACATTTGCCAATCTTATGAAAAAAAACTAAAACAACTCCCGCTACTCAACAAAGCACAATTAATGAGATTGCTTTGTATTTAACTTATGATGTTGATTTTGAAGAAGATGATGAATTCGACGTTCTAAACTGGTGGAAGGGAAAAGAAAAAATGTTCCCGGTTTTAATAAAGATGGCTAAGCAAGTGCTATCAATGCCGGTTTCAACAGTTGCCGTGGAACAAGAATTTAGTTCGGCCGGCAACGTCCTTACGCAATCTAAATTCGTAACACGATTGGTTGAAGGCGGCCCGTAGAGCTCAAGAAATGAGTATCGCCCCCTCCCAATACTTTATGGATGAATCAACAACTGATGGTGGCTCTACCTATGCCGGAGATTCCGATTGATTAGTAGTATTTGAAAATTTATTATAAAATGTATTTCATGTTTTTAATTTATCCTTCAATTCTCAATTGTAATTTGTATACTTGTACTCTTGTAGTCAATGGCGGACCCAGTAAGGGTCCCATGGGGTCCCGGGACCCCATGCACTTCAAAAAATACCTATATATATTATGTATAATTTTTATAAAAATTAACCAAGCAATGTATATATAAAAAACAAAGTAACTTAGTTGCAATATTCTTGACTGGTGGACCGCATGAATTGTGGCGTTTCCACTCGAGGAGGTACGGGGATCGATTCTCCCTAATGATTTTTTTTTTTAAACCTCCACTACATCGAATGTTTTCCTTAGCTCCTCAGTGCAAGCATGTTGATGTTTCTCATTTCTTTCTTGTTCCCTTGAATTAATTTAGTTCACTGGGATTGAAACTCAACTTTACTAAAAATAAATCATTTTTCTGTTAGTTAGTTACTTGTGTGTAAAATACAATTGACCCAATTTACAATGTTAACAATCTTATTTATTATTGTTTCTGTTCTTAAAAAATTACAACATGGTGAATTAAATATCATTCACGTACTTCATTTAGGCTATGTTTTATTAATTTATATTTATGTATTAGATATTTAATTTGTGAAAAATATTGTTAAAATATTTTATTTGAATGTTAAGACTAAATTATTAAATTTATGATATTTATGAATGTTTTTTCTACTCCCTCCGTCCCATTAGACTTTACCAACTTTCCCTTTTTTGTTGTCCCAAAAAACTTTTCCATTTTCCTATTAAAACAACTAATTTGTGGTTCTGCAATTTATTTCTCCTCTGCACAAATTTCAACTACACAATTTTTACTATTCTTATTTCTCACCTACTTTGCACTTGGCAAAGTCCACTGGGACGGAGGGAATATATTTTACAATTTAGTATGAAAAGATATTTCGATAATTCGATCGCCTACCTAGTTTAAAAATATTTGGAGTACCAGAATAGCTCAGACGTAATTCAAATGATTAGGATGAAAAGATATTTCGATAGTCTATATGACCAACATGTTGATTTGGAATCTTTGGAAGATGATTCTAGATCAAATTGCTTATTTTCAAACATGGCCATTTCAACCTCGGGAGTCGGGATGTACGTTAACTATGAAACGTTATGCTGCTTTAGTATTTTAATATTTTACATTAAAATAGGGACCTCATGACTCTGATTTTCTGGGTCCGCCACTGCTTGTAGTTCATATTTCAAATAAATATACGTTCATTTTTGTATATGTAGCACTTCTCAAATTAATTATTTGATTATTAATTATGTAATTATATTATTATTTATTACAAAATGTATTTCATATTGTTTTTTTTTTCTCAATTCTAAAATGTAGTTCCTATTTCAAATAAATGCACTGGAAGTTTGTTTTTAATATTCATCACTTGTATGAATAAGTAGCAAAATAGGAAGAAGAAAAAAATTATACTTGACCCGACCCGGCCCGGCGGGTAGCCCGTCCCGTGGCCCGGGCGGGTGGCCCGGCCCGAACCGGAACCGGCTGAGGGACGGACCGGTCTCGGGCCCTAGTATTCGGAACCGACGGCCCGACCGGGCCCGACCAGGCCCGAGTCCAGCACTGCTATTAAGTATTTTCTTCAAAATCACTTAAAAATTTTGGAGATAATCTGGATAATACTTTTTCAGAACCACTTTTTTCTGGATAGCCTGCACACAGATTGTGATTTCTCCAATCTCCAAAAAAAACAGTATTATCAACTTTCAGGCAGAGATACTGCCAATCTGCCATTTAGAGGAAAAAATTCACCTATAATACGTTGGGATGTATTTAAAAATAGCCTCTAGTCCACGTGCGATAAATGTCCGTCTAGCTCTCTTACATTGGGATGGGTACCAGACCGGTGATGAGTTCCCAACCTCAGTAACGGACCAAAGGACCTAGACCAGGTTCCGGTCTGGTAAGCGTGCACCAAAATTTGATGGATTTTATATTGAAATAGTAATTACAATTTGACTTGACACGTTGTACGCAATGAAATGGTGTCACAGGTGTTTTTCATAATGTTTCAATATTCTTGTACAAATGAAGTAGCAAACCATTTACAACAACTACTGTAAGATTGTGATGTGGTGAGCCCCGCTTGACTTCATTGAGATTTATGAAATATTGAAACAAATAAAGATCCATAAAGATGAGTGATATAGCTTTATATACTAACAAAACATACTTTATGAAAAATTAACAGCTGCAACATAATGCAGATAGTTGATATAGAAAGCAATTTGATGTTTAACAGAAAAATATGCGAATAAAAATTGTCAAACAAGATTAGTCCCTCCCTTGCACGAAAAAACAGCCACCTTGAGGTTGTATCAACAACTATCATCCTATCAGCAAGCAGCTTACTAACCACAGCAAGCTGATTTTTGAGCTGCAGCAGCTGCTCCCTCTGCCTGGTCTGCTTGATTAATCTTGAGAGTCTGAGGCTGAATGTTTTAAGTAAAAACGGTCAGTAAGCAAATATTGAATGAGTTCTTAGAAGCATGAAATATAATAAATCCCTGTATAAACCGAAAAAAAACAAGAAAATATAGAGAACCGGAAATACATAATTGTTAAAAGGTAGATTCTATGGTACCCAAAAGGTATCATACCTTTGTCTACTTGGACCAATCAGATATTTACAGTTGAATTATTTAAATCTAAATTAAAAGTGATTTAATGATTTGGACCAATCATGTGAGTGGTAGGTACGGTACCCCCATTTTTTAAATGGGTACCGGAGTTGTCACCTTGTTAAAATGCATTACAGGGAATGGTCTCCACAACTGAGTGAAGGGACACATGTTTTTGCTTTTAATTGGATTAGTTAGGTGGTGAAGTTTCATGGATAAATCAAGACAATGGGAATAAAAATAACATGTTAAAAAACAAAGTCACAAAAAAAGTCCATATTAGTACCTCAGCTTTTGAGTCGGACTCGGCTAGCCTTTGCTTGATATCCCTAGCTATCGAAAAGAAGACTTCCTCAACATTCATATTCGTCTTGGCACTCTACATGAAATTGTTAGCATAACTTAGAACAAATGCTATTAACAAAAAACTCCATGAAACCCATGATAAATGCTAATACCCACTGTCTCAAAGAATTTTATTCCATATTCATCAGCTAATGCTTGACCCTTGGAAGTAGGAACAGCCTGGAAAAGGAAGGCCGGTATCAATTCATTTATAGCACATAGAAAAGGGTAAGTAACGAATTTAAAAGAAACATGTATCAGAAAAAATTGAGTTTGTGTGAGCACATAGACATAAGCATGTGAAAGCTAATAGCTGAAATGATGCATCACCCTTTTGCTTTCATCCATATCAGCCTTGTTTCCAACGAGTATTTTATTGACATTGTCTGAAGCATGTTGTTCAATGTTTCGAATCCAGTTCCGGATGTCTAGGCATAAAAAAATTCCAGTAATCAAAAAAAGTAAAAAGACAATCAAGTAACATCACAATATCTTGGAGGGGGGTGGAAAGTAAATCCTATAAGGGGTTTAAGGGATAGATTATTGGTTGATAGGCTTAAGTATATAAGAGAGCTTCAATTCATGAATAAAGAAAATTTGAAAGCATAGATTGTCAATTACTGTTAAAGGATGACTCATCAGTCACGTCATAGACCAACAAAATACCCATTGCTCCACGATAGTAAGCTGTATACCAGAAAAAACACAATAAGATGACTCACATTTAAGTAGCAAGTAATGTTTGCCAAGCAGATAAATGAGAAAACAGTGGAATGAAGTAAAATAATCTGGCCACCTGAAGGAAGCCTATTAGATTTTATTTATTAGCGTATCATTTTCTAAGATGAGTTTTTATGTACAGCAGTAGCTCAAAACAATTGCAGCATAATCCATCTGTTCTCTGGTTACAATTTAAACTTCAGAACTCTTTTGAGATGATATAAAAATTACAGTGTTTGATTAAAACACTCTTGAGATGATAGAAAAAGTAATGAAAACACGGCAAATAAGAAATAAGTTAAGTCAGGTGTTAATACAGAGGAATGTAAATGCCGACATACTCACCAGTGGTAATTGTTCGGAACCGCTCCTGACCAGCAGTATCCCAGATTTGAAGTTTGATCCGTTTTGCATCAAGCTCTATGGTCCGTATCTTGAAATCAATGCTGTAAGATGTTTATTCTTCAATACGAATACTCGCTTTCTTTTGAAATCAGTGCATGTTTGTTTGGTTTAGTATGTGAGCCAACAAAAATCTTCTATAATTTATAATAGAATGTTACTCTTCAACAAAGGTTTTCTTGTTGCCGATAACAATATATACATCTCGACAGTTAAGAATTTGAAATTTACTCTTTTCACTTTTCACTTTAAGTGCTCATACATGATACATATTCTACTTTGGATAAGAAGAAGCAAAGCGACGAAAAATAAAAGTCGAGCAAGACATAAAAATAAATACCCAATAGTGGTAATAAAACTGGTGGTGAAGGAACCATCTGAGAAACGTAAGAGAAGGCAACTCTTACCCACACCTGAAAATTCAAATACAAAAAGGGAATTGAATAAAGAATCATAATAGTTGCACCTTTGATCCCAGAATTACACACTTACTAGTGAATAGAAGGCATAGTCCTTGAGAAGTCATTTATGTCACTACTCTAGTAAGGACCATTTATGCCACTTCACTGACTTCTCAAGGACTAAAGATGCATGCACATCATTTCCACCACCCTGCTGACTTCGCAATGACTAGAAATAGATGCCTTATTTCTACAGAACTGGGTGCATATTTACTTACAACTCAGGGATCAAAAGTGCTAAGTTCCAAAACTATTATAATAAAATATGAAACCATGAACGTATGGAAGTATAATGTTCCACAAACTGACTGACAATAATAACACACAGAAATTCAATAGATTTCTATGTTTCTTTAGCTTAGCATGGTAACGAGCTTCGAATGTTAGAATACACCATCCCCGGCCTAGCCCAATTACACTAATGTCTAGAGTAGTAGGGTACCATATTTAGGTGTTCTGATGTTCAGGTATTTGACGAATTAATGAATTCAGATTTTTTGAATGGGGTATTGTCTATCGAATCTTTATTCATAATTGTGAACAATGGTATTTGAAGTGTGAGTTTCTTTAGATATTTTATTTCACTACTTGACCGTTCTGTAATTGTTATTCGAGCATAAATGAAACTGCTGGTTTATTTTGACAAATGTGTTATCATTGATTCTTTAGGAATCTCACAGCGCCACTGCTATTGCATCACAAGTTATTACTGTAATGCATAAAATATGTTTATATAAAGAAGAAATAAAGATATTTTCTTTCATTAATTGATTAATGGGAAAACTGTCAAATAGGTCCTCGAACTTTCATAAAAAGGTCAAATAAGTCCTTATATAGGAGGTTCAGTCTGGCCGTCGCGATTTGGGGCGGTTCCCAGTGGAAATTTTTTATGAACATTTTTGAGCATCTTATTCATCAAGTCTAGTTTACTCATACCAAATTTCAGCTAAAACTTCAATCGAGAACACATTCAAATTAATTCTTGAAGATAAGTGTGCAATTAAATGCGCAGTTATCTTCAAGAATTAATTTGAATGCGTTCCTGATTGAATTAATATTTTTGGACACTTAAATACAGCTGCTCAAGCGTCAAGACACTTGCACACAATTATCCAGGCAATATCCCTTGGGGTGCTTACTCTCACATCTCAATAGGTGTTTCCCTAGAAGAACCAAGTGGGTTCAGCCGCTCATTAACTAGTGAACTAATACTTCAACAAAATGCATAACCAAGCAATAAAGGAAATTGAGAAATCAAAGTCTTCGGGTTAAAAAAGGTAATTTCAACGAGGCTCGAGTGAAATACTGTCCGAAATGACACACCAAATAAGAGACGCTGATGGAGTTACCTGTTCAAAAACACAGTCACACACGCACAAAAAGAAGCTGGGAACGTACCACTATCGCCGATCAAGAGAAGCTTGATGAGATAATCATAATCTGCTCGAGCTCTAGCGGGCGGAGCGGCCATTTGATCCCTCAAATATCCAGCAATCCAGGTAAAGGAGAAAAACACACCCTGAAAGAAAAAGGGTTTCGAAGAAAAATCCAAAATGAAAATTACAAAAGAATAACTCCGATTCGACTATGAACAAATCTAGAACGCAAATTTGAAGTAACGCTGATCATCATAGAATGCATGAAGGATAAAGGGTGTGAACATACCGGATGGGTGAAGAGCGGGTAAGAAATTCAGTACAGGGAATATGCTGGTGAGCCAGATCTGACGGGTGATGAATGAAGAATAGAGGAAAAAATATAAAAGAAAATGCGAAGTGAAAGCAAATGGACGGAACGTCAACGCCAGAACCGGTCGGCAGCAGCGGCTCAGACGGCCTTCCGGGGTGGGGTCAAAATGGTGGGTCCAACAAAAATGTGAATTTTTTTCCTTAGAAAGAAAAATGTGATTTTTTTGGGAGATTTCAACAAATAGGATTTAATCATACTAATTTTCCAAAATTAGGACTACAGATTAGGGTAAGACCTAAGTACACCTGTTTTGACCAAATTGTCCATCCTAATTAAATTTCCCTGCGCATCAAACAAACCATGCGCAAACTTCACGGACGCCTCCCTCCTCTTCACGCTTCAGGTCAATCGACGACCAGACCACCGCTGCTGAAACACCGTCGCCGACGCAGCAGAAAGCTGGTCCAGTTGACTTCATCGAATGCCACCACCATAGGTATTTTCTTCATACTCTTCTTCTTCTTCTACTTCTTCTTCTTCTTCTTCTTTCTGATGTTGGACATTGATTTTGCCAATTTCGAATTTCTATTTCATATTTTCACAAGGCCACCGGGTACTCAGCAAAACTTTTGAAGAAATCAGATCCAAAATCAAACTTGCAAACACTAGACAATACATAGACAATAAATAGTCAGTAAACAGACAATAAATTCTAATAATAGCTCAATAGCAGACAATACATAAACAATAAGTTCTGATAATAGCTCAACAACAGAGCAGGTAACATAAAACTGGGAAGACATTGAACTTGACCTTGAAATTGGGAGGAAGGGGCTTATTAGCATCGTCCCAGGGAAGATATTGAACTCGATTTCACGGAAATAGGGGAAACAGGGGAGGAATCGCTGGAATCCGAATAGGAAGGGTAGGAGTAGTTCTCCATGGCCGTGATTGCTGCGAAATTGATTTTTTGGCCTATGTGTGTGTTTAGGGTTCCGACGATGACGGGCGACGAGCTCTCTAGCGGTGATGAACTAAACTCAGTTGTAGCTTGCGAGGAAGAGATGCAGTTAATTGAAATCGATAGAAGGCGTAAGGTGAGTCGATTGCTTTGGTGTGTCTTCTTCGTGGTTGACCTGCAGTGAAAAAGGGTAAAAATGGAAAGCAACAATAATGTTTCCTAAAGTAAGACTATATACATCTCACGGATGGAAAAAAGATAACTGAGTCCTCATTTTGTAAAGACCGTATGTTTTGGTATTATGAATAGCAATTTTCTCGATTTTTTGGAACGGAAAGTCGGAAACTCACCAAAAATGTGATTTTTTTAAAAAGTCTGAAACAAGGTGAAAAAAAAGGATCAAAAAAATCTGAACGGGGTGATATGATATTTGAGTAGGAGGTTAGTGATGTAGTCAGTGCCTAGCTTATGTAGACCTTTTAATTCTTTATCTATAAGATAATTTCTGAACGAATTATTTATATTGACATATAATTAAGGGATGACTCTATGAAGCACGAATACTTCAATAGGGTACCGTGTCGACGTATCAGAAATGTTCCTGCATCCGATACTCTAGGATACCCTACTGTACGTTCTCAGGTCGTAACTGCAATTTTTAAAAGTTTCCATTTTTATTTGTAATTATTTTAAAATTTCGGATACCCGTATCCTGACGGATACATGTATCAACTTTTTTTATTAAAAAAATATTCCGAATGTTTTTTTTTTAAAAATACCCAAAATTTACATGATAAAATTCATAAAAAATGAACAGCTAAAAATAATTTTTACCTTGCTTTTATGTAGTACACAACTAATGAGCTTATTCCTAATTCAGTCATCCTCCTATCCCTAATTCTAATTATCCCTAGAAATTAATAGCTTCAACAGAAATATGTTTTAGAACTTTTAAAATAGTATACAACTGTATATGAGATAAAGTATGGATTTAAATCTAAGTATTTGAAAATGTAAAATGCTTCAATCCCTTAAATGGGTAGACGTCGGAGAATTAATATATGTGCATTTTTTCAAAAAAAAATTGTATTTTTAATACTCCTTCCGTCCCATTTTAAATGTCTCGTTTTACCATATTGGGATGTCCCTATTTGATTGTCTCATACCTTATTTGGTAAAGTTTGTGTGGCTCAAAATCATTCTTACTTTATCAATTGGTATCAACCACACAAACTCATTTTTCTTAAAACTCGTACCACCATATTTTATCCCAATATAAAAGGGACGGAGGTAGTATTTATTAATACACCCCTATAACTTTTACGGAGTAATATTTATAAATATACCCCCATAACTTTTGATATTTATAAATATGGCACCATATCCGTATCCTACTTTTTTGGTTTTGTCGTATCGTCGTACCCGTTTCCGTGTTTCTGCGTTTACGCGTATCCGTATCGGTGCTACATAGAGAGGTGTACATAAAATATGTACAAAATATGTGAACCAATAACATTTGATTTTTACTCTGGAAAATTCTCGAAATAGGAGTAGGAAAGTTTGAAAAGTTCGAAAGACAGCAGTCATGTTTTTATTCCTGATATATGGGTAAATACTATCAAGTTTTGAAAATCCTATCATGTGACACCGCTCCCAATTTAAACTTGGATTTATTAATCCGTGGATATTAAAATCTAAGTGAAAGAACAAATACTAATTTCGATGAGGATAATTAGTTAAAGTCATGAATGTATATTCACTTTTAAAACTAGTTACAAGTATATTAATCATACTAGAAATGATTAATTGATTAAATTAATACTGATTAATAAAATTGTGGGTCGGACCCCAAACATGGGGAGGGACTAACTAATATATATTCTTGGACCAAGATAAATTAAACATAAAAGCCCAAGGATAAGAAGTAGGTAATACACAATTGTTCGGGCCGAATAATAGGCAAATAAATAATATGAGATATCACTCGAGACCACTTACTAATAATAGAAATAAATGAATAAAATTCATTTGGGCCGAACCGAGATATATCAAGTAACCAAACTGGCGTCCTAGCCCAAATTACCGAAAATAGCAATTATAAGGGTGAAGGGTTCCCTACACTTTAATTCGGGGTATTCCATATAAAATGTAACCCATAATAAATGGGAGGATTGATTTGTAAATAGCTTCGGGATGGATTGAATAAAAGGGAGGCAGCCCATTACACGACACAACCCATTTTAGCCCAAACCTTCTAATTATAGAAAGGATAAGAGGTAGGCTATCCTCCTCTTATTTTGAGGAGAATCCTACGCCACTTAGAGAGGGGAGAGAGCTCACAAGGAGCTTCACGCGTTCTTGGAGCAAGGAGGAAAAAAGAAAGGGGTTCCGGGAAGAAGAAAGCTCGATTTTAGGTAACCGAATGCTATTCCCGCTCAAACTAGTTATATACTATATTTAGTTAATATGATTTTTAAGAAATCATATGTTGGATTTATGAGGATGTTCTACACGTTTAAAAGTGTAGAAATATGATATAAAGTGTTGGTAATTAACTTAGAAGAGTTGTTGAATCGATAGGAATCGAAACCGCCGGAAACCGCCACTTCTAGGTGCTGTTTCCGTGCTGCAGGGCCCGAAAGCCGGGCAGCTTTTGCAAAAGCCGGACGGCTTTTGCCCTTTGTCAGCCAATCTTGTTTCGTATCATTCCCGATCGAAGGTTTGACGACGGGGCTTCAATAGGCAACCTTGCTGGACATATTTAAAGTGAGGATGGCTGACTATATTGTCTATAACTCGTGAGTTGAGCATGAGATTACCTAATAAATCAAATTATGATTTTGATGGAATTAAATGATATATACTTCAATGTGAATAAATGTGTTGCTATGTGGTCATATAAATTGATACATGATATTACAAAGGTGGGTAAGCAAAGGTATTATGCATGAGGGGAGAAATCCTTGAAATATATTAATTATTGAATTGATATTTATGATTACAATGATATAGACAAATGTTGATAAATGTGTGATTCCATAAGATCTTAAAAGGGATATATGGATACCTATGTGGATAGGCAAAGTGATTAAATGTGAAGTAAGGAATACTTGAGTTATTGATATGATCAAAGTGATGTGAATCCGTAGTGATTAATTGTGTGTGCTATCTATAGTATTGAATAAGATTGGCATGAACATAGAATGAGTGATGGACTACGGTCACACTCAAAGGAAATGGTGGAGTATACCTAGACTATATGAAGGCAGCCCAGGGAGTCTTGATGAAGACTAGCCCGAGGGTGATAGATTATGATTGCTCGAATACAATGAGTATACGGGGATATATACGGGGTGTGTAAGCCCTAAACGAATGAAACATATACGGGGTGTGTAAGCCCTACATGAATAAAGTATTACGCGGGGTGTGTAAGCCCTAACGAGTAAAGGATATTACGCGGGGTGTGTAAGCCCTACACGAATAAAGTATTACGCGGGGTGTGTAAGCCCTACACGAATAAAGTATTACGCGGGGTGTGTAAGCCCTAACGAATAAAGGATACTGCGTGGGGTGTGTAAGCCCTACATGAATAAAGTATTATACGGGGTGTGTAAGCCCTAAATAAATCGAAGATATTATACTGGGTGTGTAAGCCCAAAATGAACGAATACACCGTAGGGTGTGTGAGTCCAACGTGGATGAGTACAAAGGATAATTTGTGTAACCCTCTCGATGGAGTTGGGTTTAGACTAGGGGTGAGGTAACCTCTCGAGATTGCTATATGCTAGAATAGGCCAAGGGCTATACAAGGGGAATTGTTTTGAAATACAAATGGACCTACGGGTTGACTATTTGACTTGGTATATATATTCTATACAAAGTGATTTGAAACGGGGTAGCTGTAGGTTATGCCCATAATATAGTATCACCATATGTTGAGGGTCTTGTGTTTGAAACATGGATTATATTCAGTATAGTTGTCATTGTACTTTTCAAATGCTTCCAAGTACTGACCTCCCGTTCACGGGGGAGGCCACCTCACAGTTTTCAGGTAGAAGCTAGAGCTTGCTTCCTGTTCCCGTTGCTTCAGGTGATCTATGGAGAGAAGACGTGGTTCGTGCTTCTTCCAGTTCTATTTTGATATAAATAAAATAATGCTCATGGAACTATTTTAAATTATAAATGATTTGGGAGCCTACGTGCGTGCTCATGTTCGCAATGTGTAGCCTTTGACATTTTTTAAAAAGTATTTGTATTCCGCTGCGTATATTTGAAATGCTTTATTTATGATTGTTTATGGATGTACTCTTGTGAATGGTATTCATGTACGCCTTGCATGGTTCGAGTGGGATGAACTGCGGTTGCCTTAATCGGATTATGCGGCGGTTGTTAGCGTGTCCGGCCAGACCGGGGCGTGACATATCATGTTTAAAGTCTGATACTACCATAACACGACAATAATTAGTCTTATTTAAGGA